ACGAAGTTTGTTGGTCGATTTCCACCGCAGCTTGTATTTATCGTCCGTGTACCGTAACGACAGGCAAATAAATACGCAATTTTTTTTTACTCCCTCATTAAACAAATATTTTCATTTCCCATCAATAGCATTACATTCCAACAAAAAAACATGTTCGCAGGCCTTGCTGAGGAGATTCGGAAATGCGCGTCGTATTTCGTATGTGTAATTAAAAACCCTTTTTTTCACTACATCGAGGGCCGCTGTGTTCAAACACTCGAACGACCCCCAAAACACGGGTTTTACAGACGGCTCCCTGCATAACCTAATATAAACGGCATCCCTTCATAAGTGCCCGACCCACCGACATACTACACCCGAGTTTAAATAGCCACTTGCACACCACAGCATGTTCTACAGACATCACGACCCTACAAAACATCAGTCGAGAGAGTAGTGAGGAGTTCCACTACCCTCGCCGATACATCCACACGTAAATTTAATAAGATAGCAACAGCTATAAATACGAGCCCAGAGCCCAGCTCGAATATATACACTGTAGCCCACCGCCACCTCAGTGATTTCACCCGAGTCCGTCGCGCTGCACACTAGATGTGTAAACCCACTCAAATGACTTATGGGAACTCCGGTTCCCGGTCTGATGTCACTAGCCCTAAATTCATTAGCCCTAAATTTACTAGCCCTAAAGTCACCAGCCCTAAATTTTCTTTCCCCTCACACCTGGCAGTAGTTCTGAAGTCACTAGCTCTAAAGTCATTAGCCCTAAATTCATTAGCCCTAAAGTCACTAGCCGTAAAATATTTTATGGTTAGTAACTTTAGGTCTACTGACGGGTACTCGTGACAGCACATCCATCAGGTGGCATGTGAGAGATGGCCCGACTGGAAAAACCGTGGGTTTTTCGCGGCGGAATATTCGTGTTTCTGCTACAAACCGAAGTAATTTCATTCGACCAGTCTCCATATCGGCGATCGTAGGCATGTGGCACGTGATTTATATTTATGACCGGTAATGTAAATAGCATGGCGTCAGTTTCCAGTCTTCCTTGTGACTATTCTTATTTGTGGAATCTTGTACATCTGTCCGACGTTAATGGTTAAGGCCGCCGCCTAGCTGGAGCTTTTTTCCCGCGGTTCGAGGCCGAGAAGCGCGGAAGCGATAAGTGCGACACTGCCACTCTCATTAAGTGCGCCATATCCACTAAGGGCAAGGCTCTGAGCTAGCGTATGGTGTTCTCGTAGCGCTGCGCGCACCAATGGGACTTCCAGCGGTGCCTGTATTATTTTATTGATGGATGTTCTCTACGAAGGTTCAATGTGTGATCCTGGAGTACTTCTGTACATATCTGACGCTCATATTTTGAGATACGGCGCTTTTAAAAAGCCGATTTTAGCTTTGTTGGAGTGCTCTGGAATGATGTTTCTAATGTGCATGACGTTTTGTGTCACGAAGTAACATTCTATGTTACTCCGCACAAGAAATAATTATGGGGGTTTATGGTTGCTGATTCATGATAGGGGCTGTAACCTGAGATGATAGCATAGAGCAGGGGAGGGTTAATTGACTGTAAGATTGTCTGGAATAAAGCTGGGTTATTATTGTAGTAAAAGAAGATTACAATTACAAGATACACTGAACGACCAGGGGAGTAATGTAATATTAACAGTTAATTAACTGCCTAATTAGAACCATATTACATTAGTAGGGTTCGCCCCACCTTGCTGTTGTACTAGGGCAGTTACGGCGGTCGGCACTGGAAGGGTCCATCACGGCCGACGTCACTAGGAGAAAGACGACGCCCGCCACTCACCATTGTTACCGCGGCTTGCTGGTCTGACTGGCGGGCTGTCTGAGTTGCGCCGGGACGTGCAGGGCGTCCTGACCTCTGGGCTATGTGTTCTTTGCGGTCTGGTGAGGGAAACTTCCTCAGCCCGCAGAGAGATACAACTGCTGCAACCGTATGGGTGATATAAGGGCCCTCACAAGGGCCCGAGCACACCCCCCGCTCTGAGCTTCGGCAATGATGAGAGACTCGCCATTGTCCTATATCGGCGTTGCATTTTGCAATCTGGCCTGATTCCTGTCTTGTAGTGGGGGGGTTCCTGCTTACCGTAACTAGGCAAGGCACAGCCCGATCGCTGTGAGGCCCCGGGTGATCGCCAAGGACACCTCAACGACACAAGTTTCAAAACAATACTATCAACCAGTATTTGTTTTAGCATAAGAAATATAATGAGAGCCCAACAGAATCAAAATATTGTAGTCATTCATAACAGGCAGAGTGAAAATCACCTGACAACAAACACGGGTGAAAGATCAACTTTAAATAATTCCATTTTATTCAATACTGCTTGTCTTTTCTCATATCAAACAGATTACACAACGTTAATATTGTATATAGAAAATCTTAAATGCACGTGGCATCACAAAATGTACTCAAAGCTTTAACTCTGAATTTATATAGTCTCTTAAATGCACGTGGCAAACATACGTGGCATCACAAAATTCACTCAATGCTTTAACTCCCAAGTCGTTTTACCCCTTTACATAATTTTATGACCACGTGGCTATCTGAATTCAATCATATCTTGGTGTCTGTCATCTGGAACCAACTCGTTTATGAAAAATTGATTCCACGTGGCACCATAAATTTGCTCATTTCTAGTATCTTTGCATCTCCTCGAACTATTTTACCTTTAAACACAATATCGGATTACACTTAAACATCAGGCACAGTGTTGAGCCATTTGCGCATATACAAACATTTCTAAAATGTACATGCACAATTCCAAATTTTTCTGCACCTCCAGAAAAATGCATATTTCAATTACCATGATTTTACCACCAATAAAAATATTTGCATATTCTTGAGATAATTACTTCAATTATACAAAATAAAAGCGCGCAATGAAAAACTCATTGTCACCCGACACAGGGTTTTCCAACTGGCCGATTCAGGTGTTTGTGGTCGCTACAACAGGTCTGTAATATTTCTACGTTAACTTTAGTGAGATTATTTGTCACTCGCACCTGCAAATCCATATATTATTGCAACGAAAATAAATAGGAAAAGTTTAAACTGGCCGAAGCCACATTAATTTTTTTAACATTCCTACCAAAATTGTGGGCTTAACAAAACCATTACTGCCCCTATTCAATCTACCAAAATGGCAGAGAACTAAAATAAGAAAAATTTTTCGTTAAAGTTAGAAGTTAACATTATGTGTCAAGTAATAAGTTGGTTCCAAGCCTTTCACCAAACACTGAAAAATGAAGCTTGATTCTTTGAGTAGGCATGTGTTTAAAATTATCCTGACTGCAAAATAAATTACTAAAATCGTCAAAGTGATGTTCCTGCATTCTAAAAGGTATTACATTACGAAATAACAAATAACCGAGCTACCTGACCTGTTTCTCCATGGGAAAGCCCTCGCTCGGTTCCAAGCGTCTGACAAATTCCATGGATTTGCAGGCCGTATTAATACAAAAACGACCATTGACTGGCTATAGGGGTCACACAAATCATCCACCAATAGCGAACCAAGGCGTGATGACAACATTGATCCTTAGAGGGGTCACAACAAATCCCACATGTCATCGAACAATCTGGTAACATGGAAATACATTGGTCTTTATGAAGAAAACAAATGGCCCTTTAGAGGGGTCAGAACAATACACAACTTACAACATCAAGTCCGACTATTTGAACCAACCAGTCATATTGAAGCTTTCTTTCTGGTACACTCGAAGAAGGAACACGCCTGCCCTCTATCGGGCACGCACTGAAGCTCCACTCTGCGCCGGCACGACAGTCCCTACACAGTGTTCTATGAGCTGCTCGAAACAACACACCGCTGCTCGTCGTGAATATGTTAATTGTATTATCTTGTGCTACATCGGGCTGTGAATTACACTTCAGCGATGATCTCCAAGCACATGTAAGTGTTTCAAAGGCATACATTGCAAGTACCATCATGAGTTTAAATAGATCTAAAGTGCTTCTGCAATGTTGTGCAGCGCCGAATGAATTCTCTTCTGTTGACATAAATGCTAGTTACAAGGTCCGTGTTGCAGGTAGGCCAAGTTGTAAGGACGGTGGAATGGGCGCTTAACGGGGAAAATATAGAAGACCACGCTCGTATTTATAGACGTGCGCGTCTCAGAGGCAACTACTGTCCTGGTTTCCACTAGATGTGAGCGAGCGTGTTCAGGCGACGATGCAATTCACGCCAGTGTAACGCTTGAAGGCAAACAAATGCACTCGTCTGAGGTGTGCTACTTTTATACGTAGGTCAGCACTTTGGGCGCTCGTTTAATAGTTTCGTGGAGGAACGAGTATTAGAAACACTTTGCAGCACAGTTCAGGCTCCGGGAAGACGGAGGCCTTAACTCTACTATCATTGAGTAATCAACATGTTGTTCACTGGTTGCGAGAAAAATTGCTTAACAAATAAAGCACATGCCAGAAATTGCGTTATTGCACTTTAAATTCACATCAGTGGGAAACCACTACTTCGCAGTGAAATTCAACCACTAGAATCAGTGGAAATGGCTCCACTTAGAATCAGTAGAAAACCACTGATTGTTTAAGTGAAAAAACTTTACTGATTAAATTAGTGACGTGAAACGCTGATTGAATAAGGGATGGCCTACCGTTGTGGCGAATTAAATATTGTTTTTGGCCAAGTAATTACGTTAATTAAACATATTTCCGATAGTTTACTATTTATACTACGCAATTTATCTTTTTTTTTTTTTTTAAAGTAAACAAATTTCCGGAATTGGCCGGAATTGAACTACACAACCTTTACACTCGGTAATTTCTTTCTTTGTTGTTGTAGTTGTCGTTGGTAAGCTAAGTGAGACCCTGTGCGACAAGCGAATTTATAAATCTGCCGCGTCGGAGGCACCGGGGCATGAACCCGCGACCCTCCTACTACAGGTCGGCCACCCTACCCCTGAGAGCTATGGGGGCAGGGCTATAAAAACACGTGTGTATTCGCAGTTGGCAGGATTCGAACCTACGCTCCCTGAGGGATTCTGATTTCCAGTCAGACGCCTGAACCACTCGACCACGACTGCTCTACACCATCTGCGCTACCAATTCAAGTTGAAAACAAAGAGGAAAATACATGTCTTATGAACTTTACCTGAAATCGTGAAAATTTAAATTGTATGCCTTTACTTTTCGTGTTTGGTTTGATTGGTACCGTTAGGATTGTTAAAACTAATAGTATACGTGAGTGCACTCTCTTCGCGACATTATATGCAGTATAAACATTCAAACAGATCGCTGTGATGATTACATGAAAACGAAATGAAAGACGTAAAAGCGGAATGAAAGGCTGAATGTTCATATTACCTCGTAAAGCGGTGTTCTGAAAGACGAAACACATTTTAGTAATTATTTTGTATTGGTTTTATTAATTTATTCGTTATTATTGTTTAGCAGTCATTTTAAACCTTGTTAGACGGCCATTTTACACGCTATTTAACTGATCCATCAGTCAAAAAACAAACCACTGAAAAACTGTGAAAAAATGACGGACGAATCAATGGAAAATGTCACTGAATCAATTAGTGAAGGTAATTAGGCATTTCCCCACTGATTCATCAGTTAAATTCACTGAAGCGACTAGTGGATCAGCCAGGTACTGTTGACTGATTGAAACAGTGAAGTTCTCACTGATTCATATTTACAGTGTGCAACACTAATTCTCTTAAAAATGAATGTGTGGCCGAGCGAGTTAAAACGCCTTTTCCGAGAGTGCACGATATTTGATTGCTGAGCGACTGACTGTTGAAGGAGACTCGTATTTATCACGACCCGCCATGGAAACAGCAGGTGCTATAACCTCAGTCGGCACGATACACAGCCACCAAACACGCCACGGCGACTTGAAAACAAAGAGCCCTAGTCTAGTGAAGTGGTGAGGCTTCATTGTCCCTCCGATGCATCACAGTAGTCTTTTCGTGGGTTTTGAACCAAACCTTCGTAAAATCACCTTATGTGTGAAGTGTTTGGTTGCGTCCTAAATACTTATGCCATGTATCACAAGAGTTTTATACGTCTCTTAACATAAAAGTATTTTATTTTTGGTTTGATTGATCTTTTAATTATATTTTATCTTCAAATTATAGTATTTCATTTATAATTAACACGGCCAAAAGAGAGAGAAAAATTGGTGTAGTCGTAATGCCTAGTAAGAAATATTTCTAGTGCAAAAAATGGGCTGTAGCTGTGTTAAGGACACGGCAGTTTGTTTGCCGTTAATACGCCTACGTTAACGCGCTCGGATGCCTTGATATTTTTTTTTACGTTCCCGGAACCGCTTCACTCGATCAAATGGGGTTTTATGGGTATCGCGGGATACGATTTCTGTATTTCGACTTGGCTTTTTGACGAGTATAGGGCGACATTGTGTTAAGTTTTCTTAATTTTTTACATTAAACTCATACAATTTCACCAGAACCGCGCCACACAAATGTTTTTATAGACGCGCTCGATTGAGCTTGACGAGAGCTGTCGATTGAAACTCAAACGAGCGTCGTAGCTTCTCTTAGTCAAAAGTTATACTAAGTTGAAATTATGAGACGCGGCGAAACTAACTCCCCCGCCCCCGCGTAACATATTATTTGATCCTTTGGCAATCGAGTGGTGTAATTTAATTTTGAATGTAGACGATGGATTCGGAGTTGCAATACCAAACTGTATCGTCCGATTTTGTTATCATCGGAATTTCTGGATTACGTCTAACTATGGTTGCAAATTTAAAGACGCATTTACATCAAAAATTATTAAACTGATGGCGCAATAATGCGGTGCGAAATAGCGGTGTGTATGTATATTTGAGACATTTGACGTGTGAAGTATAGAAAAACAAGGCAGAGATAAGAGGGGACATGCAGACCAAAAAAATTATATTCCTGCAGTAGTGTGTGAAGGTAACCCACCTATAATTTATCTTGTCTGCCAATAAATGTGCACTGACTTCAAAATTCTAATTAATATTGCCATTAATCTGATGACTAGCAGATACAAGAAAATCACGTGAAACTTTAAATTAATTACGTACATGTGCATAGCATTCAGGCTAAGCTTTTCAATATTAACACGTAGAACATTAAAGTAGATCCATACCATAGTAGCCAGTTTTATTGTATTGTATTGTAAAGGGCTTTTTAACGTCATCTGGTTTTATGTTTGAAAACTTAGCAAGGGACGGCTTACAGACTAACTTATAACCTAACTTAACGCCCATGCCTTGCCCGGGATTCGAACCCAGAGTCTCCCGCACCCCAGATCGGTGGCGCGCCAACCGACTGCCCCACGGGAGGTCGGCGCCAGTTTAATTGGCCATGAATTCAAACAGTTCACTTATAGACAATAAACGGAACAACAGGTTTCACAATTTCTGGCCAACATTACTGCAAACACGCCAGGCAGCGTTTACGTAAGAAAAAAAAAATGCACCTCCGATCAGAATAAGTTCATTCCATTGCTATTTAATTAATACAGGACTGGCAATGTGTCTTTCCGTGTAATATCTCTTAGATATCTTGACTTTGAAGTTATTAATCGAAATAGACGGTAATTGACAATGTTTCTCAAACTTGTACTTCAGGTGTTCCTGTGCTGCGAGCTAGTTCGCAATTTGCAAACCGTCCCATATATATATATATATATATATATATATATATATATATATATATATGGGACCAACGTGCTACAGCCGTTACCGTCGACTAGGAAAGTAGGTTACATCACGGTGTCTCGCTGCTACTGCTCTGGAATAGCTGCAGAGTTACTGCCAATGTGAGGCAGGTTAGGACGCCACCACACTGGAAAGACGAGACGTATATTGCTCCCGCTAAATTGAGGTTTCTCTAACCCCCGCAAGTATAACAGGGATGGGAGGTTCTCTTGTAAAGCAAATCGCTGAAAAGAAATACTATAACAGTTAAATAAACAACGTTTTTTTTTTTTGCGAGCGACAATGGATAAAAAGCATGTTTTTTTTTGGCGAGTGTGGCAATGGATAAAAACAATGTTGCTTTTAACTGATTTATTGTTGATAAACTTTTCTTAATATGATTATTTTGTGTTCCCTGCCTGAGACTTTACGTCACCATTCTTCATTGTAATTAATATTAATAAAATATGAATCAAGTAATTAATATTTGTTTAGTTTCGTTCCATAAATTTTAAGACATGTCTCTTTTTATATTACAATACTGTATGGCTTTTCATTTCCTATCTTCTGGGTAACTTCCGTGCCTACAAGATCTAACAGCAGTTTACTTTTAACCATTGTATACTTACACTCAATTACAATGGTTTGATTTACAGATGAAAATAATGCTAACCCACACATTCTCTGTACATTACCTCAATATAATAATAAATGTTTTATTTTTTTATTATTATGTTTTATTTCATGTTGAATATGCTGTGTAAGAATGTAAATTAACATTACAAATTATAAACATTAATGACATTAATTTAATATCCGTGTGACATTTTCTCAAACATTTACATGTGCGTAACTCAGTTGATATATATTTCGTGAGTTACTATTGATTCTCTTCATACCCTTCATTTATTCAAGTAGTGTGTGGCACCAATGATGACGAATAGTTATTATGGATATCTAAAGAGAGCGGACGCAGAAATGACAGTAAAGTTGGGGAGATGTCCTGGTTGAAGAAGGGGAAGATTGAGGAAATCATGGAGGAGACGAGATCAAGGTGGCATTATTGCTGGACAGCAGAGAGAAGGTTGTAGCTGCCTATAATAAGGTAAATGGTGGTTTTGGGTTCGAAACCCTGTCAGGTCATCCTGATTTCTGTTTTCTATGGTTTTTCGAAAGTCCTCCAGATAAGTGCTGGGATGGTTCTTTAATTACAGGGCCTAGCCGATTCCTTTCATGTTCCTTAATAAATAGTGTACCTTTTCACCGTTCAGGGCAACTGTATATGGTATATTAAAAAAATACACACAATAACAAAATTACCGCATCGTTATTGCTATCTAATTACCTTTAGGTTTGTGTGTTTTTGGTCTTACAGGTTATACAAACCATTCTTACTCTAGGACAGTAGGGGTCTATCTTGATTAATGAATCTGTTGTTCCCATAGATCACTGGGCCCCCAGTGTGCACTAATGGCGAAAAATGAGTTTCCTGTGCTGTATAATGGCATGGAAATCATATATCATTGCCCTGAATACTTGTGGGCCAGAAGCCGTGTGAATGACCCGCTTTAAGTGCATTGCCGACCAAGGCTGCACCCACATAAATTAAGTGGCGAGTCAATGTTGAAGAAATCAGCTCTTAATGCACTTATTTCAAATAAAACTATTTGAAAAAATATATATTTCACTTGACATTTCTTGCGGAAAATGGCAAGTTGAGAAATTTTGCCAATTTTAATATTTCATTTTAGTTCTTCAAATTTCTTGTGAACGTGGCACTATAATCTGAGAAAGTTTCCTTGGATATTCCTTTGTTTGAAAAAGTTGTCCGGTCCCCGCGGATGCAGTTTTTCGGAACCACAGCCCTTGCAGCTTCGCCCTTTGCTGCGACCCGTGTCGACCAGCCGGGATGTGCGAGGGGGAAGAGGTCCTGAGGACTGACGCCTTCCCGAGATGTCAACACGGCGGGTCCAGCGCCCAGCATCCTTCACTCCCCGCCACACCGTCCCACAACCACATAGCCAGCAGTCCCAGATGATGCAGTGAGCGAGTCCACAGTCTCGTCCTTCCTCTGGGGGGGTCGCTGTGCTTTGACCCCTCCTCTCCAACACCCCTTTACCATTCTCCCCCTCCACTCTTCTCGTAATTAAAGTCCTACCAACCCCGCCTCCTAACCCTCCTTTTCCCGCCAAACCGCAATGGCTGGCCGAGACCCCGATGTGCCCTCGTAAGTACATTCCCTGGCCGGCGCTGATGAATATGCATGTTACTGGGTCGGAGGAGTAGGGAGGCATGGTCCCCTGCGGTTATCTCCGTCTGTGAACCTCCCCGTGACTGAGTCGTCGTCGTCGAGCTGAATTCCCTAACCCCCTAACCCCCCCCCCCCCC